TTCCAGTGTTGCAGGTGGTGTAAGGGTGAGGCAGTTGGCAGTACCCTTCTGCTTCCTCAGTGAATTCCAGCCTTGGTGTTAGGGGGAAGGAGGAATGAGAACTGTTCTGCTGGGGATGGCTTCTCAGATGACACAAACCAATGTCCTGTGACCACTTACAAAGTCTCCTTTAAAAAAAACCCAACAAAAAAACCTTAAATTCTCTAGTTTCCTGTAGTGAATGTATTGCTGATACCCCATAAGTTGTTGTGTGCTTGCTGTTTTAGCTAGGTAACGACCACATTTTAGATGATCAAATACTTTCTGAAAGCGTCTTGCAAACATAATTAAACATTTATTGTCATAGTATTTGGGCACCAGAATTAGAAGCTGCTAGAGCAGGCTCTGCGCAAGCATAGCAGGCACTAGTCCTTGTTGCCAGGAGCTCACAACTTGAATAGACGTGGTGGGAAAATAATCCCTGTTTCATGAGGGGAGCAGAAGTCATGTAACAGAGGAATTATGCTATTTGAGGCTAAGATCACAGAAAGCTTGTGAACTAAATCCATATCCCCGCAAGTTCCCATCATCCTTTTCCTGAACAACATGAATCTTTATCTGTGTCTGCTAAATAGTAGACAAGGTTCCTTGGGTGAATTTGATATCTTTTATATCAAAGCCAGCACAGGTTCAAGCTTTTGGGTTCAAACACCCTTCGTCAGGCTAAGGAAGCTTCAGCAGTTGGTGTGTGCTCTTCCTGGATGGAATGAAGAGTCTCTTCATTCCATCCAGGAAGAGCACACACCAACTGCTGAAGCTTCCTTAGCCTGACGAAGGGTGTTTGAACCCGAAAGCTTGCTTAATAACTATTCTCCAACCATCTGGGTTGGTCTAATAAAAGATATCAAATTCACCCAAGGAACCTTGTCTGCCTATGTCCTTAGACCAACACGGCTACAACCTGAACCCCTGCTAAATAGTAAGAACTCTTTCCTGACTGATGAGCAGGAAAGTAGAAGGCACAGTGTAAAAACCCTTGTGCCCTAATGAAACATCCAGATCCCATCACTTCTCTCATTAAATTGTGAGCTCCTGGAGGCAAGGATTAGTGTACAGCAGGGTGTCTAACCTTTTTGAATGTGGGGCCGGATCACAAACTTTTTATCACCCAGTGGGCTGGCGAGCCATATTCAAAGACGTCACAGGAAGTGGTATCATATCAGGAAGTGATGTCACGTGACCTTTGACACCAGTGAAGTCTCAGGGGTTGACATGGCATGCATGCCCGGATTGACATGGTGCTGCAGGAGCCGCTTGGCTACAACTGGGTTGACCTGGTGCTGAGAAGCCATGGGGCCAGGCCAGGGTTAACCTGGGGCCCGCCTGGCCTGCTGGTGCCATGCCTGGGTTGACATGGTGCTGCAGGACCCGCCTGGGCAGAACTCGGTCGACACCAGCCAGGAAAAGCAGCGTGCAGCTAGCTGAAGCCAGCTTCCCATGTGCTGCTGGGGACGGGAGGAGGCTGGCCAGGGCTTGACCGGCCAGGGCAGAAGCGGGGATGGAGCCGTGTGCTGCTCGGGACTGACCGGTGCAGGCTCGTCCCGTCCCAAGCGGCACATGGCTCCGCCGCCTCTTCTGCTGGCCAGTGCAGACCCAGCCGGGCTCCTCCTCCTGTCCCAGCAGCACATGAGAAGCGGCCCCCTTGGGGCCTCGTGACCGGGCCTGGAGAGCCACAGCGCCCAGGGGGAGACTGGCCGGGGGAGCAGGCGCCGCCTTGCTGTGGGGCCAAGCAGGGCAGGGAAGGGCAGCGGGGCTGGCTTGAAGTGGGTGGGTGATGAGGCAGACGCAGGCCAGCAGTGTCGGCGGCCGCTGCTTACCCTCCTGCGCGGGGCCGCTCCCTCGGGCCCCGCGGGGGTAAGCAGGTCCCCTCCCCTCCCTGCTGGCTGGGGCCTGTGGGACACTCCTGCCCGCCTCGCTGTGGCCCCACCCTGCCTGCCTCGCCGCGGCTTTGCCACTGCCACTGCAGCTCCGCCGCTGCAGCCCCACTGCCACTGCCGTGGCTCCATGCTCTGCAGCGGCGGCTCCACACTCTGCGCCGCTGCAGCTCTGCGCTCCGCACCGCCGTGGTGGCTCCACACCACGGCCACCGTGGTCCTGTGCTCTGCGGTGGCAGCACTGCCACCGCTGCGGGCCAGATAAAATGGCTTGGCGGGCCATATGGCAGGCCACGGGCCGTATGTTGGACAAGCCTGGTGTACAGTGTTGGTGCAGAGCCTGTTCTAGCAGAGTTTCTCTATCTAAACCCAAAGAGCTGAGGCAATCCAAGTTCTTGCAGAAGTGCTAGGGTATCTGAGTGCTAGGGTTTACTTTTTCAACCCCTTATGGATAAAAAGCTGCATAACCAGAAGTTGGTATAAAAAAAGTAATTCCCTGTGTACCATAAAGTGTGCAAGACATTGTCAAAAGGGGATGTATAAAACAGGAAGTTGAAGGAATTTATAGTGCAGCCAGCTGCAGCTGATATGGGTTTACATTTTAACTCCACCTGAGGTTCTTAGGTTGGAGGGGTTGTTTTTGTTTTTTTGTTTTTCTTTAAATTGAAGGTCAAAAAGCTGCATACAAATTAGTCATGCTTCCCATGAGCCATAGGCGTCATAGTTTAATGAAGGTGGGGGGAAATCTTATTGCTCTCAACTTAGCTAGCTTTTACAATCTTTGGGTGTTTGCTTTTTAATTGGAAGTGAATAATTGGCTGAAAGGAAACTTGTTTTTTGATCTGTTGTTCTTCCTGAGACACTATGGCTTTTGTTTGCCTAGAAGGTGGAGTTCTAGTTTTAGAATGACAGATGACACACCAGATGACTTTTTTAACTGTTTCCTGAATGTACCTAAGGGATGCATCTACATGAGATGCTTTATTCGAGATTAGCGCAAATTACTGCACAGTATGTGTCGCCATATACATGTGCAGATGCTTACTGCGCAGAAATTTGCTGTAATCATGAGTAAATTTGCTATCTGTAAATACAATTAGCAAATTTACTTGAGTAATTACTGTGCACTATGGCAAGTGTAGACGGCCAATCAGGAGCAAATTTGCTCCCCGTCAGCTGGGCAGCAGGGGGCGGGAGATTGCTCCCTGCCCCTGGGAGCTGCCTGCCACTAGAGCCTGGGTGTGGACAATGTCCCCTTGCCCTGGCAGCAGGGCGCCCCCAGTCCCCACTCTGCAAATGCAGACCAGGGGCTGGGAGCTCCCTGCTGCTGGGGCAGGGGAACATTGTCCACACCCAGGCTCTAGCACCAGAGCCTGCCCCAGCAGCAGGCAGCTCCCAAGGGCAGGGAGCAATCTCCCAGCCCCTTCTAGGAGATGGATGTCTCCTTGCCCGGTGCTTCCTACCAGCCCCTGGGCTACAGCTCCCCCTGGCGGCTACATGCAGCGCCAGTGGGGGAAGGAGCCAACTGAAAGCAGGAGAATCTGTTCCTGCTTTCCTGCATGTGTAGACACCTGCCTGGGCTGGGTTTACTCTGGAGTAAATTGCTCTAGAGTAAACCCACCCTGGAGCATTTGCATGTGTAGGTGCGCACAAGGAGTATAGTACAGCAGGTAGCTGAAAGTGATCTAGCTGATTATCACAGATTTCTGTTCAAGTGGTAGGGGTAGGATAAAGTAGAAGACAGCACACAACTTAGATTCAGGAGGATTTTAGAACACTACTGTAATCACAGATAGCTACTATCTATCTTTTTTCCATCTCCCTGCTAAAACCATTAAGGTTTAATCTGACTATTGTTTTAGTTAGTTGGGGTTTTTTTGCATTCCCAAACCTGTAAATTAAGCTGTGAATAAGGAGGGCAGCCTACATGGCCTTTTACTAATCACTTTGTAGAGCTGTGGGAGAGCAGAGAGAAGCTTAATTAGGGATCTGAGATTAGTCAGCATTTTTGCTGCATGCCCAGTAATGGTACTGATGGGGAGATGGCTGCAGCTACTGTATTTGGTCACTTCTGCACTGGTTTGTGCAGTCACTAAAGTGAGGTGACAGTACCTGAACTTGTAACTATTGTGGTGGTATTTGAGATATGGACAAGCACATCCTGAGGAATAAATTTGGAGCAACTAGCCTGACTGTCAGTAAAATGAAGCAGGCTGGGCATTTGAAAGCATGAGAAATGAGTAGGCTCTGCAGTGACAACATAGGCATCCGGAAGCACAACAAGCTTGGCTCTGATCTATGGGGCGGTAAACTTGCCATTGTTAGGGCAGGGCTAGATAATTTGGGAGGGATTGCATCATGAATTCCAAGTTTTAAACTGGGGCATCCTAACGTGCCACAGGCTTACCTGTTTGTCCCTGGCTTCAGCTAGTACTTGTTACTTCTGGGTAAATTAGGACAATTCAGAGACCCTCTCTTCCCTTCTCCGAAAATCCTAGGTTGGGGCTGCTGAATGTCGGGAGTCAAAATCCAACGATCAGATTTAGGTTCTTCAAAGTTCTGAGGATGGAGCTGGATCAGCCCGTTGGGGACACAACACAGCTAACAAAGCTCCAGCTGGATTCAGATGGACCTGAATTTTTACCAAAACTATTTTGGTTCTCGATAAAGTCCACGTACACAAGAAAACTAAACTAGGTTTGACATTCATAGTAACCCTTAAATAGTGAATCTGTGAAATGGTCCTGTTAGATATTGCAGTTGAAATATTTGGTTTTGTTAGTGCAATCAAGTGTGTAGCCAGAGTGCTTTGGAGTTGAAGTGGGCAAAATACTGTATGTGTACATGTTGAGTAAAAGAAGGCAAAGCTGGAACTTCTGCTTGGCACTTTTTGCTACAAGAACTAGCTATCTAAAATGCAACAGCTCTCAGTACCGCAGCAGGTCTTGATCTGATGGAGTTTGATCTGTGCTACAGTAAGTCTTTCAGGCTGTTTTTAAAGCTACAAGGAAGTAAAGCATAAACTGACCTAGAAAACAAAACTGGCCTTGACAATGCTTGGCTAAATGGGTTTCTTTTTCTTTTCAGGTGAAGAAGATCGCAGCAGAATACTATGACAACCTTCCTCAGCACCAGTCTTGGGTTCGAGTTCTCTGGGATTTCATTTTTGATGACACAATTGGCCCTTACTCAAGAGTTAAGAGAATATGTAAACTAGCAAGAGAAAACCTATAGATTTGTGTCATTTGCTTTTATTAATATAAATAATTTGCTCCTAATTTCCCAAACTGAGTTTTCAGAGACTGCTGAAAAGAGCTGAAGTAACATTCTTATGCCTTCAGGTTTTATATAGGCAAAGAAATGTTGTTATGAAGCAACCAAAGGCATCAATTTTAGAGTAATGTAGCTTTTATTGAAGGATTTTTGTGTGTGTGTGTTCATCCTGACAGCACGTTACATATGCATGTATTCCTGAATGTAGGGGTGACTGGTGCCTCCTGAGTCTGGGGTGGGGGGGGATGGGGGACAATTTGTGGGCGGGCCAAAAGCCCCATATCCACTCATATACTTCTGTGCCGCAGCTTAGTGCTCTCCCCCCAACACGCCACTGGCCTACGCAGCAAAAAAGTTGCTCCATCCTGCGCGGTACCAAGTTGAGGGCCAATCTCAGGCGGGGCATGTGCCCCCCCTACCAGTCGCCTGTGCCTGACCACCCCTGTCATCTGGGAACTTGTTAGGTCACAATCAAAAAACAAACAAAACCCCCAATGAAGCAAAAAAACAAAGAAAAACCCAAGAAAATACATATCCCTTAATTTAAGGTCCTGAATTTTTTTATGAGATTCAGGTGAGGCCTGTTTTATAAAGCAGAATGCTGCAGATTTTGGAGAACTGGAGAAATTTTCTTCAAACAGGTATTTGGCATACTATTATTGCAAGCAAATAGGAGTTTGCCCTTGAATGCATGCCAAAGTCCCTGCTTTCTTGGCTGTATCCTTGTAGTACTCTTCCAGCCAAAATTTCTTGTTTCTGGTTTCTGCAGCTGGGTGGACAGCTGCACTCCTGTCATGTACCATATGTAGGAGAATGTGGGGGAATGACCCCAAAATGAAAGTGAAAGTAGGTGAAATAACTGTAGAGCCCACAGCAGTGCATGATAAACAAAACAGCAAAAATCTGTTCCTTCTAGTTTCTGGTTTAAAAGTGAGCACTGGATTTCCATGTTCATTCAGTGATGCAAGATCAGCTTCTTCATACTGAAGGAAAGAAATCTTCCAAGCAACTTCCCTGCAAGGCTTTAATCTCAGTGCTGCTAAATGAGCCAGCAAACAATTCAGCTCATTCGATTTAGTTCTGCAGAGCTAATAGGAGAAACTAGAAGTACATTTATCATAGGCCATAGATATTCTCTAAGACCTAGAAGACAGTCAGGCTGCACAGCTTTTGGAAAAGAAGGTATCTTTTTGGTTTATGCTGCAGAGCAGAACCATGTTACAAGGCTCAGCTTTTCTAGACCTAGTGGAAGTGAAGAATAGTGGTACTAGAAGAGCATATACTGGAAACTAATGGTTTAGCATATCTAAGACAGTGGTTTCTAAATCTTGCATGAATATTGACCATCTTAAGGGTCACTGAAGAACTTACTCGTTTCCTGATGTAAGCTTTGCAGAGGCAGTACAGGCTATACAGTGTTTTACACTGTTGTGTAACTAGAGATTGTCTTTGTCAGCAAGGATTAAGCAGAGGAATCGATCGATCCGTCAGTATGTTGAGTGTTTGTCAGCTATTTTGAATCGCCGCCCCTTGTCATCTCCAACATTCCTTCTGCTTTTGTATGCAAGGAAAAGTCTTTTCAAGGCAGTTCTAGAAGCCTGGCTCCAGTTATTTAACAGTATGTGTTCAACTGAGTTGATGCTTGTGTCAAACTCTTAGACCAACTTGGATCTAAATGTGGGCTATGGTAATTCTTTGAACAGAACTAAATGTACAGTATAACCAGCTTGGTGCAGTTCTTACTCCAGCAAGTCGTGTTTGAGAGCTGGGTAAAAATGGACTTTAGTAAGAGGTAAAAGGTGGGAGTGGGGCTATTTGTGCTGAAACCCCAAGAAAATTTTAAGATGAACTGCAAGGCAGGCGCTGTCTGCTCTAGTTGATTAGGCAGTTCTTCCCAGGTTGTACCACTGGCCAGCTTTTGCTTCCTTTCTGGAAAGAGCCTGTTTACTGCTATTCCAAATGGTATTTTTTAGCCAGACAGGCTCTTTAAACTTGGAAAGTCGCACTGGACTTTGTGGAATCAGAAAAAATATATGCCTTAAACTTTGATTATTTTAGTTATAAGATGACATAACCGCTTTGTGGAGAATTGCTGGCTCTGTATAGTAGAACAGATAAGAGAAAGTGTTTGTTCTTTGTAACTCCTCTGCAACTGCTTCGCTCACCGCGGCCTTGAAGATAGCAAAAAAGTATGTACAAATCTGATTTCCAGGTGCAAGAAGGAGGTTTGTGAACTAACCTCGCCTCCCCCATTAGTTCCCATCCTGATTACAGCAAAGAAATAATGAAGTAATATTATAGCTGCTTTTCATGCTAATTTCACTATATGATCACATGAGTTGTAAGCAACTGTTAAAGTATATAAGCCTCCTGATTTTGCTCTTGGGGGGGGACCCCTTCCAAGTGCTTGGGAAATCCATGTCACTTTGGAATCCCCCCTACAGCTGTAGTTTCTTTTGAATAAAAGCTTCTGCTGACCTGACCCAAAAGTATGCTGCGTGTGTTTTCACGACAACTGCATGCCTAAAACAGAAGGGCTACAAGCAATTTTTTGCAAGCTGGCTGCAGGAAGCACTGTAGCAATAGTAACTGGTCCTGGAGAATGTTTGACAGATTTAATAACCAAGTTCAAACAGTTCTTTCAACAGAAAGTTATCAATGGTAGGAGATGATATCAGATTCTGCTCTTGTAAAGCTTAGGCTGAACTAAATCAAGTGGAAACTCAAGATTGTGGTTGGATTGTGGAAGAATGGGCCTTTATTTGTACAAAGTATGACTGGGTGTGCACTTCTGGACTTCAGCCACAGCTCTGAGAATAAAAGGCAAGTGTCCTGCATTAGTGTTCCTGCAGGCTGTATTGTGATAATATGAGCCTTAAAGTCCTATTTCAATTTGTGTGTTTAAAAAAAGACCCCAACCCTGAGCCTGTGCCAATGGCAGTGACAGGTTAGCAGTACCAGGGAATTTAGAAGTGTGTCAACATGTATGACTGTTGACAAAACTGTTTTACAATTGCCAAATAGCCTAGTGCTGAACAGGCCACAGCACTTGAGATTTCATAAACTAATGTCGGGGAGTGAAAAGGGAGGTCCCGCAGGGAGGAACTGTGAGGGCAAG